TGAACAGACTTGGCGCTGGAGCCGCGGTCATGCTCTCGAAGAATAACATGCACAACAAAATCCCCCGAGTTAAATTAACTCTGCTCAGAGTACATATTGTCCCAATCTAAAGAGTGCTAAAGTAATACTGTAGCAGAGTTAAAGTTAATGGGATAATTAAGCGATTAATTAAGTAATGATTGAGCATTAGTAAAGAAAACCCACTGTTAACAATGCTGAAGATCAACAACTACTCCTCAGGCTTTTAGACATGAAAACTTACCACATAATCCTCAACAGTGGTAACTCTGCTTCAGTGTTACTTTAACACCCTGTAGATTGGGACAATATGCACTCTGAGCAGAGTTTAACTCGGGGGATTTTGCTGTGTAGTGATATCCAGCCCTAGGGTAGGAGGAATAAACAGGAAACATAGAAAATAGGAGCACGGAAAAGAATCAGGCAGGGTATGTTTATAAAGGAAAACAGAGTCAGATGTTCTTACTGGACACGGCAGTGAGCAGCAGTGACCACCCAGTACTGGTTGAGCAGGGATCCTCCGCAAAAATGGAAGCCATTGGATTGCTGGTTCATACATTATCAAATATAAATGATAGGATCTCAACTTCTAGATATTAACTTATAAAGACCCTTAAAGCTAGTAAAAGTTACCTGGAGAGAGACCTGCCAGGACCAGGAACCAGACACTGCATTCTCTCCATTAGCAATTTTGTTGTAGCCGGTGATTACTGGCTTAATGGCAGGCACTCCACAGCCTATGGTAAGGAAAAGAAACACATGCAAAAACATACAATTTTGGGATATTAGTCAGTTCTTAATATGTTTTAATATATATATATATATATAAGCTAAATTCGCTACAGCTAAGAAAGAAAAAAAGTATTTTTAAATATATTTTTTTATTGTGCAGGATATTTTGTGGTTGTTTGACACTATATGAAAAGATGTTTAACCCCTGTGGTTTCTAAGACGATGCCTATAAGTTTCAAAGTGTTAATCATTGTAATGCTGACATCCTGGGAATGCTCATAGTCTGCACATGTTTTGTATCGGAACCATGATCATGCTCTACAAGGACAACACATACAAGTAGACACATGTATACTGTCTTTCTCAATGCAAACATATGACGAATAGCTTTTAAAAAAATATTGGCAATGTACAGAACTGCATGAACAGACATGACTTAACAAGCTCTTCTGGTTTAGTTGGATTTGATCCTGAGAAATTCATTTAACACACTATACAATTTAAATGTAAAACCTAGCACCGGATTAGGGAACTGATGTAATACATCTATTAAAAAAACATCCAAGTCATTCCAAATTGGGTAAAGGTCTAGCACCCTTTGTTTGCAGATGCCACTTAGTTTGATTTCTTCTACTGAACCCAAATTAGTATGCTTGTTGTCATAAAAAGTCAAGGCAAACCAGGAAGAACCAAAATTTGTATTTAATATTTATTTAGCCATAAGTATGCATGCATTCATAAGTTTAGCATAATCTATAGTTAGGCTAATTAAAATGAAACGTCTCAGGTTACTTATGTAACCATGGTTCCCTGAGTAGGGAACGAGACACTGCGTCCTCTAGGGGTCGCTATGGGGAACGCCTCGTCGTGACCCGTGTCTGAAGCATACATTGAAAAAACACCAACTTGTTGGCCGGCGACAGCCCATGACGTCACTACCGGTGCGACTCCAGTATAAATCGGCGCCGGGAGCTACACATCATTCACTTCTTCGTCTGAAGCTTGCGTCCGCAGCATGGCAAGAAACCTAGAGGACGCAGTGTCTCGTTCCCTACTCAGGGAACCATGGTTACATAAGTAACCTGAGACGTTCCCTTTCATGGGAACTTCGAACTGCGTCCTCTAGGGATCGCTATGGGGAATGGTATACCCACGCCACCATGCTGAGGGGAGTGCAAGCCAGAACCATGGCGAGCACTAAGAACCAACTCTACCATATTGCTATGGGAGTTGCCCCTGGGACGTTTAGACGGCTGTCAGTGACGTTATTCCCTACGGCCAAAGGCCTAGGCTACATACCCCAAAATACTTACCTGTTAGGGCCAGACTCCTGGGCCCGGGGTAGAGCTCAAGGCTTGGAATCAGAAACAGATTCCTTTAAGGGAATACGACCAAGAGCCTAGAATCATACTAGTCTTGGTCTGTCACACAGGGGCTACCGCACGTTTGTCTTGTGGTGAAGGAACTGTCTCAACAGATCCTTAGTAGCAATACCCTGTTAAGTAGGTATCCAGAGGATACATAGGGGGAGTGGTGCCCAAGGCAGAACCGGGGTTTTAAACCACTCAAAAAGAGCACGAAGTCTTGCGCGTAGCTCTTACCATACAGGATTTTTAGAAAAGTGGGCAAAGCATAACGTGCGCACTTACCAGCTATGTGGATTTTAGAAAAGTGGGCAAAGCATAACGTGCACACTTACCACTTATGTGGATTTTAGAAAAGTGGGCAAAGCATAACGTGCACACTTACCACTTATGTGGATTTTAGAAAAGTGGGCAAAGCATAACGTGCACTACACTTGCATACCGTTCTAGGGGTTCTCGTGGCACCCTGAAAAGGCAGCCTATAGATAAAAATAGCGTATCCCCAGACGCTATATCTACGGCTATAATGCTGGAGTGGCTAGCAGTAAATCTGTAGCTGGGGGAGAACATCCAACTCTCAATGGAGAGGGAGCTCAACCTACAGCATGTTCCCATGGTGGAACAGCTAGCAGTTATTCAGCTGAGGGAGCAACACACTCAGCTCTCAAACCGAGACGGGGCTCGACCTGCAGCATGTTCCAAACTGGCATGCTGGTTCTTTAGTTGAATCGAATGATTTCTTCAATCCATTTTCGAAAGTAAGAGACACGGGTGTAGGCGACTGGACGGTCAGTGCTGCAGGATTTGTGGCCCCAGGAAACGATGCCCACTTGGTACCAAACACCTGAACTCTCACACATCAGAGGACCACCAGAATCACCCTGCAGTGGACACACAGACATCAGTGATTAACATTGTGAGTTTAGACCCTTTTGTGCTGTCAGTGAGCTGCTATTTCACATATTTTAATTAATTTAGTTAGATTTTTTTTTTTATTAATAGCTTGTGTGTAAAATATGTTCATGCTTCTGTCTTTATACCGGAGAGATACGGGAAGTCATCTCTACTGCACTTGACAGTTTCAGTAGTGTAATATCGTTGTAATCAGTCTGTTTGTTGTAGTTAGGATGTGTGATGACCTATGTATGAAAAAAATTATATATTTATTCAGCAAGGATGCATTAAACTGATCAAAAGTGACAGTAAAGACATTTATACATTTAACCTGAAAAAAAAAATATATCACATTAATAAAATTCAGCTTTGTATAATAGAAATAAATTACATTTTAAAATATATTAAAATAGAAAAAAATTAATGATTTTTCACAATATTACTGCTTTTACGTTTATCAAATAAATGTAGCCTTTTGAACAGTAGTGTAATTTAATGCTTAGAACCTTTATTTTAAATGCACATTAAAGATTATACCTTTGCTACTTTCTTGACTTGAACAAGTTCATTAGAGCCACGGTCATACTGTCCAAGGACTACATAGTGATATCCAGACCTAGAAAGACAGTGACAGGGAAAAGCATAAAAATCTTAAAAATAGATGTATAAAAATACCTTGATGGATGGATGGGTTCTTACTGAACTGAACAGTGGGCAGCAGTGAGGACCCAGTTTGTGCTGATCAGGGAGCCACCACAGAAGTGCTCACCTCTGGATGTCTGGATCAAATATAAAGAATTTCACAAGTACATCATTATGCAGAGAATGAGGCCCACCACCACTAGGATACTTTGAGAAATGGATCCACTAGTATAAACAAAGATTGTGTCATTAAAACTTATAACACTACCTGGATAGAGACCTACCAGGGCCAAGGGTGTGCCTCATTTCCATGAATAATACCTTCATTACCTCCCCCAACAACACTTGGGTCTGGCTCATCCTTAACGCTTATAGATCTTTTGGCAATTTCACCTGCCGGGTGACGCACCATAAATTGACGCACCCCGCATCCTATTACCATAGTTCATAAAGAAACAAATTAGAAAAGTATATATATATATATATGTCTGAAACCTGTAATTGTTTATCCTCATAAAAACTCACCCAGAGTGGAAGCCACCAAAGCCAAGAAGCTAATGATCCAGATCATGTTGTACACAAGCACCTAATATGTTGCTGTTGTTCCCATTAGTCTCTCTCCTGCTTTATATTCTCTCTAGCACCTGTTAAATTTCGCAATTCATACAGGTGTTTCCTTACAGTTAGAAGGAGCTCAGGAATGTTTGTATTTGTCATATGAGGAAAACAATAAAAAATTTAATTATTCTTTTCCTCACGCAACTGACTGAAATAGGTGGGTCAGCCAAACAAAAACAAAGGGATATCACCTACCTTTCTAAAAAACAACAACTTTTCTTTCTAACTACCTTTCTTTCTCCATGAATGCATCCAATTGCACAAATGAGAATGTTGCATATCAAGTAGGCTGTTCTGGAATTTTCTGAAAATTTCTAACAGACCATTACATTCCTTCTAGCACGAGATGAGACATGAAAGACATGAAGATATTAAGGAAATAAAATGCTTATTTGGGTTATACAGGAAACACTGAATGAATGAATGAATTAACTGTATAGCATAGGTGTAAACAACCCTCCCTGTAGAATAATTATCAATAATGAGTATAACAGCTAACTGAACAAGTTACCAGGCCTCACCTCAGCTAGGTATTTTGTTGTAATTATAACCTTGTAACCATTAAATAGTAGCTTACAGATATAATTACAGATTTGGAAACATGATGCTTAGATAAGTTAATATGCTAATGCTGTTTTGTAAGTGCCATATTGCTTTGGTCTCAAGCTAGAAGTTGGTTTCATCTGGCACATCTGATCAATGTGAGTTGGTAAGAAGCCAGTTTGAGATGCAGCAAGTTGACGTAAATCAAATTTTGCATTGTTTTTTGTCTATGTGTGAACCTAGATGTTCTGGTGTCAAGATTAGTCCACTTCCTCAATGGTAGGACCAGAGGAGGGACTACTTCCTGCCCCTCCAGGAAATCCCCCAGGCATTCCACCCGGCATGCCACCAGCACCCTGATAGAGCTTGGTGATGATGGGGTTGCACACTTTTTCCAGCTCCTTCTGTTGGTGCTCGTACTCATCCTTTTCTGCGGTCTGTGGTAAGACATAAGAAGAAGTGTCTCGGAAGATGCTCTTTGTTCTGTGAGGTGGCTCATTGCTTAATACAGTGTTTCCCAACCCTTTTCCTGGAGACCCACCAACAATACATATTTTCTAACTTTTCCTAATTAAACACATCTGATTCAACTCAGCTCATTTGTAGACTCCAAGACCAGAAATTGATGCATCAGATAAAAGCGAAATGCCAAATGTGTTCTGTTGGTGTGCCTCCAGGAACAGGATTGGAAAACACTGGCTTAATGACATCTTTGTTATTGGGTGAAACCCTCCGGGTGGCTGTATAAACGGGTTTGACTTCCTCAGGTGAGAATATCTAATAAAGTTCCTTCAATGACATAATCATAACTGAAAGGGATAGCCTTAATTCCATAAACAAATGTAACCTGTAGATTGGCATGCAAGTTAGGCAGTTTTATGGTTGTTACCTACCTGGTTTCTGTCCAGCCAGGCTATGACCTCAATGCATTTGTCAATAGTTTTTTTGTCCTCTGCACTGATCTTGTCCTTCAGCTTGTCATCCTCCACAGTGCTCGTCATGTTAAAGGCCAGGGACTCTAAAGTGTTCCTGGCAGTGATTTTCTCCTTCTGGACTTCATCCTCTGCTCGGTATTGGTCGGCTTCCTGTACCATACGTTCAATTGCTTCCTTGCTCAAACGACCTGAAAGAAAAGATTAGTGAGAAACTCACTGTGAAAAAGAGACCATTTTTGAATTCCAGAATCAATAAGTCAATAAGTATAAAGCCAACTCTTTATCCAAAGCCAGGGCAAGTTATTTTACCTTTGTCATTGGTGATTGTGATTAACCCTACTAACTCTTTAAACTTACTGTGCTGAAAGTTCAGTGACGCTGGACAGCAAAAACTAGATGTAACTTCATCCAAACATCATTAGAAGCCAGTTAAGGCTGTTTACTAAACTCAGATATTTACACTATTCATGTAAAAACCACTGAACTAGGTCAAATATAGGTTTGGATATCTCAGTACCTTTTTGTCCAATCCATATGCGATGGCAGCCGTTGTTGGCTCATTGATAATGCGGAGGACGTTAAGGCCAGCAATGGTTCCAGCGTCCTTGGTGGCTTGGCGCTGAGAGTCATTAAATTAAGCAGGCACTGTAACGACTGCATTTGACGCGGCCTGAAAAAACAAGATCGAATCCTCATTAGCATGATTCTGTTTAGCATACTGTATATAAAGTGTTCAGACAAGGTTTTTAGTAAAGTGATTTTTGTGATTATTATTGAAAGAGTTTGCAGTAATTCTTACAGTTCTTTATTAAAAAAAATACTAATTTCGCTCATGAAGAAACAATACATGCTTTAAGGAACATTTCTTGTAAAAGATTTAAAAGAGTTTGGAAGCAGCACAGTTAAATAAAAAGAGCCTTGCTGACACTGACGATTGCAATCAAGTTCACATACTTCCTGTAACCAGTGTTATCTCCAAATATCTCTCATACAAAGTTGAGGTATAATTCTGCACATAACATGCACAAAACAAACTTCAGGCTATATTAGAGATTTTTGAAAACATGGAACGTGAGCTGCAGAATCAGATATTAATCTGTGGTGAATTTTTTTCAAAACCACTTTTACTGCAGGCGTCACTAAGATCAGATGTGTGAAGCTGTGTTTGCAGAACTTGGAACTTGAAGCTGATGTTAGTGTTCACCACAGTATATGTGTTTCTCTGTTTTGGTTTGACATTTGTTACTACAGTATGCGATAAAGGCTTTATATCCATTATAAATCATGCACAACTCTCCTCAGTTTGCATTTTGCAAAGTTCAGGGAAAGGCTTCAAATGCTGTAGTACAAACAAATACGGCAGTCTAAAAAAATACAAACCCAATTCCAAAAAAGTTTGGACACTGTACAAATTGTGAGT